CTCTCTCTGTCAAATAAATAAATAAAATCTTTAAAAAAAAAAAAATGAACAAGCAAACCGAGAGAAAGTCATCACCTACCTGTAATTGTCATTTTGTTGATCATACCTCACTAAGGCAAAAATATCTGTGGTGATGGTTAAGGAAATTAATCAACAACCCAACGCTCACGTCAATGGCTTGTGCCTTGAAATCCCTTGTGTAGAATCATCCTAGACCTGCACTTTTGGGCTCAGGGCATCTGTCACCCTTAGGTTGAAATGGAGCCTTGACTTCTTTAAAAGAGACAGCTCAGGAAGACATAAGTTCAACCTCTGTGTGCTCATCCTTTGGGGAAAGAGCTTAGTCTCTCAATCTGTCAGAAAAGCAATATAAATACAGCTATTATGCACCTAAGCAGCCAACAAAGCAAAAAGAGCAATTCCTTTGCTTGGAAATATAAAACATCCCAATATGAAATTAGACATACATTTCCCCTCACCCATTTTGAAAATAAAAGCAATTTAAACGTTTCCACCGCACACCTTCCCTCTCCTTCTGGCTTTCACACACAAAACAAACCAATGCACTTGGCAGCAGCGTCTCAGCAGAATCTACTTCTCTTGTGTCAGGTGCGCGGAGCCTAAAATGGTACCATACCTTGTCCAGCTTTCTTTCTCCTATTCTGCCTCCTCCCCTGCCAGGTCCCACCCTCGGCATTCCTCTGCTAGGGCTAATAGGCTATCAGTCCTTCAGTCGTTTCCATTCCTGGACTCGGAGGAAAGAATCTGCATTAACTCTTTGCCTGTCCCTTTCCAGAAACAAAGGCAAGCCCCAAATCTAAAAGTTACAGCTAAAGGAAATTCTAAAAATGGTGACTATCTCTTGGTCACTTAAAGAGCCACCTCCCTCGCCCCCCCGCATGGTGCTCGGAGAAAACTTCTATTTCACAGGAAGAACTGCCGCAGGAAAGGGGAAATAGTGGCCCTAAATTCCAGTGAATGGAGCAAGATATCACTGGATAAGCAGGGATGGGAGCAAAAACCATTATTATTGAAGTGTAGGTGCATATATGTTTTCTTCCCTGCTCTTGTGGAAGAAATTTGGCTGTTCCCCACTTTTAAAAACTTATATGCTGTATTGTTAGTTTACAATGAACAAGTCAAAGCATGCAGAGCAATCTACTTCCAGATGTGACAGGTCACAATGGTCCTGTCTCCCAACATTTTTACTGGAGTCTTCAGGGAACATGAATAGCTAGACCAGAATTTATTCTGAAAATGCTTATTAGCTGCCTTTTATTTACTATGTACAACCTGTGGAGGCACTACCTTTGGGTCTCACTGTGGGTCTCACATCACAGCCCAAAGCCATGATGGTGTCTGTTGGGCTGGCCAAGCTCATGTCCTGTGCCTGTCTGCCTGAGCTGAGCTTGGACATTACAGAGAATTTCAGCAGGACTCTGAGCTAAGCAGGGATGTGAGGAAGCAGAGGGAAAAGTGAATGAAAATATGATTAATTCCATCATTTCTTAAATTTCAAGAGGTGGTAATGCAGTAGCTATCTCCAGGGTTTAGAATCAACAAAGAAACATTATTTTGACTTTTTATTTTAACTTGCAAATTTTTATTTAACTAAATTTAACTGAACTCTAATAACTTCCATTCAAATTTTTATTTAAAGCTATTTCTTAGAGGGTTCACTACCTATGATTCTAGTTCTGTTACTACTGATGGATGGTAGGGAGTTTCCCTTACTTCAAAGACTACCCAAGGAAAGGAAAGATATTCTAGAAGCCAAGAATTCTCTGAGAATGAATCCATCCATTATTCCAATGGATGAAGAAAGATGAGGGCAGAATAACCCCAAAGGAAAAATCCAGAATAGTGGCTCTAAAAATCTAGCGATGCAAAACAACTACAACAAGCAAGTCAACTGTCAGATTTGTGTTGAGGGTCATTTTAGTCCCATGAGGCTGACCAACAGCTCACTAAACTCATTCACAAAGGTCCAGGATACGTGTAAAGTGGGAGCGGATCATGGAAGGCTTAAAGGCAGGAGAAGGCTCCTCTCCCTCCTGGAACACAATGGTGACGATGTCATTTCCAATGTGGCGCTTCCTCTCCACCTGGATGTAAGCATAAGTAACATCACCAAGGAGGTCACTCACACATGGCAGATTCACAGGGTTAAAAACACTAAAGCAATATGGCAAACCGCAATGATCACAGAGCCCTACATTTCCTCCATCTTTGACTTCTTGCCTCCCGTGTTTTACCAGCCCCGCATCCCTGCTCTCCTATCCATCTCCTCCGTTCCCTGCCCAAAGCAGATCTGCATTTCCTCTTGTCTCCCCTTCTGTGGCAGCCTCTTAACTAGCCTCCTTGCCTCCATTCTCTCCCATTTTGCTGCTGTGTGTCTACCTTCACTCCTACATCATCTTCCTAGCCTGGCATTCAAGGCCCCCAGACAAGAGGCATTGCATCAGAATTCCCTGGGGATGGGGCTCAACTATGAGTATGTTTATAAATGCCTTAGCTGGTTCTGAAAGATGTACTTGGTGAGGACAATGGGTTTACCTAATCTGACCTCAGCTGACCTTTCAAAAATGATCTCCTAGATCTGTGGTCAGCAGATTTTTTCTCCAAAGGGCCAGAGAGTACATAGTTTCAGTTTTACAGATCATATTGTTGGTTTACAACCATGAGCTCTGCTGTCACAGTACAAAAGCAGCTAAAGGCGATACATACATGGATAGGCGTGGCTGTGTTCCAATAACACTTGATTTAACACGACAGGCAGTACGTGAGATTTAGCCCATGCTCCGTGGTTTGCCAACCCCTGTCCTAGACCTTAGCTTAATCAGCCAAACAGAATGATTCACTGTCCATGGATCCCTGGTGTGTCCCCTCTTCTACACTGTCAGCTCCTGGAGAACAAGATCCCTGTCTGATTCACATTAGATATCATTCCCTTTTTGCAAATGCAGAAATGAAGGTTTAGAGATGTCCTAATAATTTGAATTCAATTTAACTCAGAAAGTCGTTATTTTTGGCAATGATTTCTTGGCCATGACACCATGGCCAACAAAAGGAAAAATGAGATAAATTGGACTACTTCAAGATTGAAAGCTTTTGTGCATTAAAGGATACTACCAACAAGAACGGGAGAAAATATTTGCAAACTACATATCTGATAAGGGGTTATACCCAGAATATATAAAGATATGCTGCAACTCAACAATAACAAGTCAAATAACTTGATTAAAAAATGAGCACAGGAGTTGAATAAACATTTCTCCAAAGACGATGTGATAAACACATGAAAAGATGCTCCACACTGCTGATCAAAACCGCAGTGAGCTGCCATTTCACACCCATTAGGAGAGCTATTCCAAAATAAAACAAAACCAAAGAAAATACAAAAAGCCAGGTAATAACAAATGCTGTCGAGGATGTGGGCAAAGTGGAACTCTCACGTGCTGCTGGTGGGAATACAGAATGCGGCAGCTTCTGGGGAGAATGGTAGGCTGGCTCCCCAAACGTTTAAACACAGGATTACCACATGACCCAGCAATTCCTCTGAGATAAGAAAAGCTGCAGGAGAGTCAGAGTTCAGTTTTGGACCTGTTAGGTTTGAGGTGTCTAGCCCAGGGGGTTGTCGAGAAGAAGGCTGCACACCTGATTCTGGACTTCTGGAGGGAGGTCTGGCTGGACATGTAAATTTGGGTGTTGCTGGTGTATAAAAGCTCTTTAAAGCCCTGAGACTGGGGGAGATCACTGATCATTGAGGGAGTGAATGAAAGTAGTAGGAGGAGACAAGAAGGCCAAGAACTGTGCCCTGGGCCAGGCAAAGCTCCCCATGCGTCCAGGATCACAGAGCTAGTTCTGGCAGAGCTAGGACTGGGCTCGGACGGGCAGCTCCCAGAGATCTGTGCTTTTATCAGGTACTAAATGCTGCCTTCGGGGCCTGAGGCTGAGAGACTAGGCAATGTGAGTGGTGGGGGACATCATGACGTGTTATGAGGAAGGTGAGGTCCCAGAGAGGCAAATATCAACACCGTCCCCCCATTAAGGTTTGATTCAGCAACAGAGAAGAGAGGTGGACATCACGAGAATACCAGAGCCTACAAACTCTGTGCGAATTGGCTTCTTTATGTCAGATTTGGGATACGGCTTAGACCGTTCCACTTGTGTTCTTGATGTTAGGAGGTCAATAAGCACCAGGATTTTTGAGCCAGGCTGGCCTCTGTCTTTTTGTCTGTTACGCTGAGCCCCCGAGGTACAGAGAGAGGCTCATGGTCAGGGGTCCTTCTCTGCTCTGCCCTGACGGGGTACACTGAAGGTTCACTAGCATCCTGTGTTTGTCTCTCTTCCCACCTGCATGATCTTCCCGGTGATAGAGACAAGTTTCAAAGTTTTCATTTTCCTCGTATCTGCCAATGCCAGGCCAGTGGAGGACCCAAGTGCTGCTACCCACGGAGACACCCAAGATGTTAAGAACACCAGGGTCCAACTGGGGACGTTTCACTCCTGACCTTAACATATGGACAGCCCCTCAAAGAGATAAGGTTAATGACTTCTGAGTTGGGCAAAGGTTGAGCTGTCACATTCCTTCCTCCTGTCTCTCTGGCTAATGCCCCATCTGTCACGAGACATGGGCAATTTGGGTGATTGTACAGGGCTGAAAAGGTCAGAGTGGGAGGAGGAGGAGGAGGACTGTAAAACATTTCCATGGAAGTTCTGTGATATTATTGTTGACCTCTTACAGCTCATGATGACTGCGAAGGTCAGCTTGGCCCCTCTTCTGCACGTGATCCTAAGAGATTCAGCTTCTGCAGCAATTTAGGCAGCCTCAGCCGTGCAAAGGAGGATGCCTTGCAGGAAGTAACTTCAGCAACTAAGCAGTCTTCCTGGGCCAGGGTACTTCCTGTTTCCACCTGACTTTTCCCGGAGTGAGCCCTCCAAAACCAGAACAAGCTTACAACCTCCAGTGGGTCTCCAGTGCCTGCAGGACAAATCCACCAACTCCCTATTCCAGGCCCCAAACAGTCCAAGGGGGTCAGCTCTTCCTGCCCCTCCCTGCCATGTCCCCAAAGCACCTTGATCTCTCATGACTGGAACACTGAATTTTAGCGCACTGGTCTGCGTTGTGTCTTTCCCCCTTACTGAAGTCTTATTGAAATAAGAATTATAGGTGCTCAGAAAAAAAGCCTTCTTGGCCCATCACATCCCCTCCCTCTCTAGGTTCCTATTTCTCACAAATCTTTGCTGACCAACTGTCCATTCATGTTTGTGATATTTATTCATACAGATGCCTTCAATGTTTAAAAAAGGGAAAGAAGCTAATAAAGTTAAGTGGAATCCACCACCCCATGCCCCCCGCACCAAATCCTTCAAAAACCAGCAGCACGTGTCTTTGTTAGGTCTGAATTCCCACAAATTGGAAAATTTTCTCCTGGAAATGGCCAGTCTCTGGGGTAAGTGAGGAGTGTCTCAGGTAGTTTTTTTCCCCAACATGGCAGAGCGTGTGCAGATACCCAGCGTTCACCTCCTGTGTTAATTTGAAACACGCTTGCCAACCATCGCTCAGGGTCTGCTTATTTTATGTCCTGGGTAGTCTCGGATGAGATACCAGGCACATGAAGAGAAGTCACAGAGTGAAGGCAACATCCTGCAAAACAGTTTCTCGAGTCTGTAAAACCACACTCGCGCATGTGTGTGCGATGTTATCACTGATCCTTTATTTAAGGAGACAGCATCAGTGAGGATGGTTCTTCCCAAGGCTTGTTGAGAGTCCAAATATACAGACCGTAAACAATATCCCTACATTGGTACCTGAGGTTCAGTTCATATATTAACACACTCAGTTTCTAATGCTATGAAATCAGAGCGATGATGCTTTCTCCATGTTTCGGTCACTGTTTGATAGTTTGTGTGTTCTCAAAGAGCCTGTGTTCACACGTACCTGCTGTTTGTTCTCTTTGGAATACGGCAACATGGTGGAAACGTGAAACATGATCTCATGCCCTTGGTATACGGTATAAACTGAATGTATCCCTGTGGTGTCATCTGTAAGATACAAACATGCATTTAGGAGGCACAGAGAATTCCGAGACCCTGAGGAAATAGTCTTTATTTGCAGGCTAGGGGAATACAGCATACAGTTAGTACATTCCCAAAGACCATTCTGGATTATCCACCTGAGCGGCAGCAACAGTAGGGCTTACTCTCCAACTGATACAAGGCTCCTGCCCACGTGGAGAGCCCTCTTCCTCCCCGCTCTAAGCTCACTTGCTGTCTGATTCACATAGAAGGTTGGGCTAAAAAGGAGAATGTGCTATAATTCCTTGCCTTCCAGTTACTCCTGGTGTACGGGACAAAATTAACACAAAACGACATACAAATAATTATCATGTCCATAAAACAAAGCAAGTACGCTCACTGGCAGATGGTATGGCGGCTGAAAGCATTGGCTCTGGAGTGAGGCAGACCTGGGTTCAAGTTCTCAGCTATGTTCCTTTTGACGAGTCACCTCATCTTTCTTGGAGCCTCAGTTTCTTAATTTGAAAATGGGGATGAAATTAGTATCTAACTCCTAGGGATGTGTACAAGATTCCACTTGTAAAGTGCTTGGCAGGGTGCCTGGCCATAGCAAGGGTCAGCGGACGGTGGTTGTGACCGTGACAGAGAGGCTGAGTATTGGCGATGGGGTTGGTGACCTCGTAAGCCTTGCAGGTTCACCACGTGCTCATGCACCTTGCTGGACCGTTCCCCACACTTTGGCCAGCAAGTTCGGCTCCAAGGTGCAATCTCATCCCACCACGCCTCTACTTAAAATCTGTTCGTGACATCCAATTCCATTTACCATAAAATCCAAAATTATTCATGTGATCTCAAACTCTGTGGGATTGCCCCCTCCTCTTCTCCAGTCCCTCTGCCATAAAGATGTTCTCTTAGGGCACCTGGGTGGCTCAGTTGGTTAAGCGACTGCCTTCGGCTCGGGTCATGATCCTGGAGTCCCGGAATCGAGTCCCACATCGGGCTCCCTGCTCGGCGGGGAGCCTGCTTCTCCCTCTGACCCTCCCCCCTCTCATGTGCTCTCTCTCTCTCATTCTCTCTCTCAAATAAATAAAATAAATAAAATCTTTAAAAAAAAAAAAAAAGATGTTCTCTTAGTTTCTAGAACATATCAGGCTCTTTCCTGACTCAGGGACTTCACAAATGTTCTTTCGCTTAGAATTCTCTTCTCCTCTCAGGACTCAAATTACTGCTCATCATTCCCTTGGGGAAGCCTTCTCTCATCCCCCAGATTAGACAAAATGCTCCCATGGCACTCTGTACTTTTTCTTCTTTGTTCCTCCAAGTACTTTACTAAGGTATTTCATAATTATCTGTGTAATGTCTGTGTTATCCCCTGGACTATAAGCTCCTAGAAAGGCAGGGACCATGGTGGTTTATCCATTGCTACATCCCTGGAGCCTCTCACAGCCCTGGAACACAGAGGTGTGCAACAGTAAGTATTCACGGGCAGACCATGGTCTGCCACACCGAGGGACTGGGAGGGCTGACTTGGTCTTGCAAAACTCAATGGAGCCCCCAAATGTGTCCAGCCACCCTGTGTCAGACTGGGTGTGAAGCCCTTCTTATCCCTCCCAGTCCACCCCTTCCCCCAACCTGGGTATAAGTCCAAATACAGATCGGGCTGGCTGCTAGAAATTATACAAATGACAACAGAAGAGATCAGGAGGTGAACTTACTTTTGGTGTCCAGACCGCCGCGGTAGCCTGTCCAGCCCTTTAGGGTGATTTTGTCACCCAGAAGATTTAAAAATTTTTGAAAAGCATCACTTCCAATTTCTGTAGGAAGAGGTAAAGTGTGAAGAAAATACAGAATCCACACGTCTTCATTTTCTAACTACGCACTGAAATCCCTTGAACATGAACGAGGCTCTACAGATGTGTGCAGCAGACGAACACAACAGAGAGGTCACCCTTCCTTCCCGGAGACCACGCAGGAGATTCCACAATTCCCAGGATTCCAAGGAAAGGACAACCACGAATCAGACTGACCCACCTTCCTGCTGCCACACCGAGATCATGAGGGTTTAGTATTGCAGAATGAAAACACTGTTACTGCTTCTACTAATAATGAATGGGTATCTAATATGAAAGGTGCTGAAGAACAGGAAAATGGCACCATTTTATCATTCTCCCAACCATAAAAATCAGAGAAAGACCTTCCTCTGCTACTGGGACTATGATATAGAACCAAATTCTTCATATCCCATATCATTTTCTGGTTAGACTCCCTCTCGGGCGCCAGTGCCTGGTGCAAGTTTGGTGACCAGTAAATATTTGTCAACTGAATGAAACTGGGCAACACCTGCCCTACAAAGTTTACTCGGAAATTTACCCTAAAATTTCACAAAACAACTGGCTTTTTCTTTGTATTAAGGACTCCAACTCAACAGGTTAAGTTCAATTTGGACTGTCAAAACCACAACAAGGCAGAACAGGGTCTCAGCACAAATTAGGGGACACTTACCGTTGCTGAGCATCTCATCATCCGTGAGCTGCCCGTCTTTGGCAAAGAGAACCCCAAACTTGAAATTCACAGAGCCCTTACGAGAAGACAACAAAAGGTGTTGAATGTAAACTTTATCATCAGAACATATACAGTTACGAGATGTGCTATTCATTACTTAGGAAAACTTCAGGGACCAGGATGGATACTCGAGGCATTACTTATTCTCCTCCATCTCAACTCTGACCAAATTAACCAATATTAAATTAATATTCCTTTATTTCTATAGGTTTAACCAATATTAAATTAATATTCCTTTATTTCTATAGGTTTTGATAGCTTACGGTTGAAACTCTCTGTTTTTATGTGAGTTAATTCATTTGTAACTTCATTACTAATGGCTTCCGTAGGACGCCAGGTCCATTCTCTGGCAAACCACTGCTCAAAGAGCCAGCAGGAGCTCACGGGCCTGGTGCCATGTTCTGATCAGCTAACACAGGGGAGAGCTCAGTGTAATTCAAAACTGAACACAACAATCTTAGGCTGATATCCTATGGGCTCTTAGGAATAGAAACGGAAAATGTAGGCAATTTGTTCTAAAAGCTCATTTCCCCCAATTCTTAAAGATATTGAATCTCAAGAAGTCACAAAACAGATGTGTGGGGGAGGGGAAAGGAAATCAAGAAGTAGCTAGTACAAATGTTCAGTCTACTACCCTCGACTTTAAAGCCTGGATTAAAATCTGATCCTGTGGGAATAATAAATACCAAATGCAAGATGATAGGTTCTATAGGAAGAGAGAGGAAAGAGATCAGATAGTTCAACGGTACTTTCAATATTTTTTTCCTTAAGCTGGATAACCGGTTTATAAGTCTTCATAATATTATTCTCTTTTTTGTGTGTGTATCTGAAGTATTTCATAATAAAATAAAATCTGAGGTTGAAGAGAATCAACTTTTGCAAGGCCATTTGATGCAGCACTAGATGGGGGAATTCTTGGTGGTCAATTAAGGGGTAGGCTAGGAACAAAGGTGTTTAAAGCGTTGGCCATTGCGTCATAGGTTGGGGGGGAGGTCAAGGCAGAATGCTGGGATTCAGGACAGCTGGATCTGGGAGAATTAAGACTCTGAAAATCCAGGGGTCCAAGGCTGTGCTTCTCAGCATTTTTCTGTCCCCAACACACCTGAAAGACAGATGCACACCCATCAGCGAGAGTGGTTTTCTACTAGAGCGTGGAAGAGGGAGGACAGGTCCAAGCTGAGCCCTCATCTGGAACCCCTCCACAGCAGCCTCTTTGGCAGGCTCTTTCCCATCATGCAGGCCTCAGCTCAGAGGCCGGTTTCCAGAGAGGCCTTCCCTGACTGCCCGTAGAAAGCCATCCTCCTCCACTGTTACTCTCTGCCCTAACACTTTGCTTTCTAAGCACTATCCATACTCTGTAATTCTTTTTTTTTTTTTTTAAGATTTTATTTATTGATTTGAGAGTGTGTGGGGCGGGGAGGGAGGGGACAGTGGGGAGGGAGAGGGACGAGCAGATTCCCGCTGAGCATGGAGCAGGACACTGGGCTGGATCCCAGGACCCTGAGATCATGACCTGAGCCAAAACCAAGAGTCAGATGCTTAACCGACTATGCTACCCAGGCGCCCCCATACTCTGTAGTTCTTTTATTCAGTGTGTATATGAGTCTGTCTCTAGCACTAGAACATATACATCCTGTGAAGGAGGGATCAGACACCTCTTAACTTCCCACTAAATCTCCAGTGCCCACCACACAGTGCTGGGTATACTGGAGAGGATTCATAAATATTCACGGAATAATTGTGTGCATAATAACTGACAAAAGAAACAAAACTGGTCAGATACAACTTACTTTTCACAAGCTGCCTCCAAATGATTACCTCTTCCTCACAGACTTGTTTTTGGTAATTTCTTAGAATTTTGCCAGGGATCTCTATCCATTTGATGATTCTAAACTTGCCAACTTTTCTTTCTGTGTTTTGGAAATGATGACAGCAATCACATGTCTCCAAGACTATGGCATATCCCGCATTCTCCAAGGTCCCTTAAAAAGCACCCACAGGAGTGTGGAGTCTGACAGATGATCCTCTCAGGATAATAGCGCAGAGCCTAAGGCAGTGGTTCTCAAACTTGACCGGGCATCAGAATTACTTGGCAGGCTTCTTAAAATAGATTGCTAGGCTCCAATTCCAGAGTTTCCATTCAGCAGTTCTCGGGTAGGGCCCAAGAATTTGTATTTCTTTTTCTTTGTTTTTTTTTAAGTAGGCTCAACAACCAGCATGGAGACCAACAAAGGGGTTGAACTCACGACCCTGAGATTAAGACCTGAGCTGAGATCAAGAGTTGGATGCTCAACCAACTGAGCGACCCAGGTGCCCCAAGAATTTCTATTTCTGACAAGTTCCCAGGTGATGCTGATGCTGCTAGTCCAGGGACCCCACTTGGAGAACCACTGGACTAGAGGAACAGACCAGCAGACTGCCAGGAGGCACAGCATCAGGTCCAGCTGAGCTGACTGCTAGCAAGCCAAGGGCAGAAAGACTCGGTCAATGACCAGGGTCGTGAGCCAGGATCCAGCAGCCTGTTAGAACCAGAAGGGGCCCCACGGCCCACTGAGTCCACGTTTTCATCTTACAGACAGGACACATGAAGACCAGGGAAGGCTAACCTGCCCACGGCTGGCACTAAGCGGAGGGCAGAATGGGAGCTGGAAGTCGGGTCTCTGGACTTCTGACCCAGTGCTCTTCCCAACCCCACAGTGTGGTCTTCTCAGTGCGGTATTGGGTTGAGGGAAGTGGAGAGCTACATGCAGAAATGGGGCCCACGGCCACCTGATCACAGGGCAAAGCTTTCAAGAGTTTTTATGGCTCTGTCACTGGCACCTTGCTGTCAGTACCCTGGCTGAGGACACCCCTCCTCCGCCCCCGCTTCAGGTGGAGACTCCAGAAAGCCCAGTGTTGCAACGCCTAACAAAGTACCTGAAATCACCTACAGGGTCTCTAGCTAATTTTGTTTCTAGGGCTTCCCAAATGATGTCACTGATTAACTCAGAGTTTTTGCCTATCTCCAGAAATCAAGGTATTACTGAATGTAGTGGATTGTACTGTTGACAGAGACCGTTTTTGGGAGGGAATAGTTTGATTTGGGGCTACCCGACCACCACGGATCATATTTTAATAAACCATTTAACCTAACATCATTAGTGCTTCATGAGGCTGGCTGCTCCTTCCAGCACTAGATCTTGGGGGTTGGGCGGGGGGAGCTTGCAAGGTCCTAAGACCAGATCTGGGCGCCCGGAGGGAGGTGACTGGTAGGGGGAATCCATGCAAATTGGTTTTCTCAGGACTTACATCCTGCCCAGACACTCATCATAGAGATAAGGTCATTTTGTAATTCCTGCTTATATGGGACTTTTGATTTTTAAGTCCTAAATGGTCTGAGACAAAAGTCAACATGATTATAAACCAAAGTGCAGTCATATCCTTGGGAATTAATAGGAAGCTAAGAATTACATTTCTTTTGAAGAAAGTGAAGTATGTGGGGACACTAAGTTCCAGTAATTCCAGAAAGACCAAGAAATGATGGCCTGATTCGAAACTGAACACCCTGGGCTCCTCATTACTCTTGTTTAGGCAGTGCCTCGATATTTTTCTGATTTACATGTTCCTACGCTTCTCTCACTGTCTCCATGCACGTTGCGGCCTGGGGCGCATGCTCTCTCCTGCGGGGCATCTCTATGCTGTGGACACACAACACTTGGGTTTCAGGACACTGACCACACTTTACCAAATCGTCAACCCTTCAGGGACATCACTAGTGTTGTTTATTAATTTTTTTCCCTGCTCATCTTTGCAGCTGATAGTTTACCGCTATAATTGGGTGGAATTAGGATCAATGCTCTGAGCTGAGAAGCTGGCAGAAGTGCCTTGGCCACATCCTCAGGGAGGCTCTGAGAGATGACCACCGCTCACACCTCAAATGCATTGTAATGAGTGCTCTTTTTTTTTTTTTTTTCAAGATTTTATTTATTTATTTAATTTTAGAGAGAGAGAAAACGAGTGGAGTGGGGTAGGGGAGGAGCAGAGGGAGAGAGAATCTTAAGCAGGCTCTGCATTCAGCATGGAGCCTGATGCGGGGCTCGATCCCAGGACTCTGAGATCATGACCTGAGCTGAAACCAAGAGCTGGACGCTTAACCAACTGAGCCACCCAGGCGCCGCAGTGTGTTTCCGTATTTTTCAAATGTTTGCCAGAAATGTGTCTTACTTTCATTTCTTGCCTTCTACAAACCATACATGGAGTTCATGAATTCTGGCACCACAAGCGTGATTCATCCATGGATAAGATATAGAGAAAAACAGGGACGTCTGGTTTGCCGGAGCTCTGCAGCAGCCCACCCTACACCCCCAGTGCCTTCCACAGAGTAACGCCTGCCAACAATCTGGGGCGCATTATTTCAGCTCCTTTGCACGTACATTGACGTGTTCGGGAATCAGCTGAGATGTCACTGCCTCAGACAAACCTACTCTGTTCGATGTCAAAAACCTACTCCTTCCCCTGTATCGCCTACCTTGCTTTATTTTCCTCACAGCTCTTGGCGCTATCCACGTTATCATGTTTAGGTTTGCTCATTTGTGGAGTTTGTCTTACCCCACCAGACTGTAAGCTCCACGAAGGGACCTCGTCTTCCTCATCAATGTGTTCCCAATGCCGCAAACAGCACATGGTACACACACGGAAGGAGCTCAGGAAATATTTGTTGAATCAATGAATGAATGAGCAAATGACTGAATATACGTATGTGTTTGTTTATAAAAACAACTGGGACCATACTGTAGGTATTGCGCTGTGAATTGCTGCCCCCGCCCCGTAACTAGTGCGTCGTGGAAAACTTCCCATGCCAGTAAATAAAGGTCCACCCCCTTCTTTTCAAAGGTGTCACTAGTTGTCACAATTCATTCAATCAATACATCATCCACTTATTCAGCCACCAAATACTTACTTGGTGCCCTCTCTCTCCACTGCTCTAGGATCTAGGATACAGCCGGGAACAAACTGAATAAGCTCCCCCTGCTCTTATGCTGCTTATATTCTCGGGAGGGCAACAGATACAGAGCGAGTCAATGAAAACACAAGTGTCAAGAAGAAACACAAAACGGTGCGCAGGGCAGAGGGTGAGAGGCAGGGTGTGCTATTTTAGATAGAATGGTCAAGGACAGCCTCTCCAAGCAGAGACCCTGATATCAAGGAAAGGGTGCTCGACCCTGAGGACGTCTGGCGAGGAGCATCCTGAGGGGGTGGGAACAGCAGGGTCTTCCTGAGCAGGTGGAGGAATTAGGAAGTCAACATGGTTAGTGTGGGGGAGAGGACCCGAGAGGCAGCACGGCTGCGTCATGCAGGCCCTGGGGGTCCTGGTCAGGATTCGGGGCTCGACTTGGAGCGGGATGGGAAGCCATGACAGCTTGCAACATAGGGGTGACCTGACTTGACATTTAAAAGGACCATTGGGCTGCTACACGAGAAACAGAATAGAGTGGGAGCAGAAAGTTGGAAAATGCATAGTGCAGGTAAGAGATGATGGGGTGGTGTCAAGGGATGAGAGCAGTCGTGGTGGAAACCTCGAGAAATTTGAATTAGGGGTATATTTTGAAGAAATCATCACAGGATGTACTGAAGGATTAGGTGTGAGAGAAAGAGAGGTGTTAAGGATTTTTCCAAGTTTGGCCGGAGCAACTGGATGAACGATATGACCATTTACCGAAAGGCATGATATGCAAAAACTAATTTATCAATTGCCTTTGATAGCATTTTTATTATTTCCCTACGTTAGTTATGTCCTTAGAAAACCCAATACATTTTTTAAAAGTGGGGCAACAAGGGATGGAGATGTGTAAATGAATATGGCATCAGTAAATCAAATGTGCTAATAAAGCACAAATGCCCTCTCTTTGACTTACTGAAATTGAAAACCTCATTACTCACCCTGATTATGAGGCTAAAATCTGAATATTTCCAAGCAGATTTAAGTAGCTTGTTTTTATATCTTTATAGCTAGCTGCATAGGAGGTCCTGAAATCTACCTTGAAAAAATATGTTGATAAAGTCTTTCAGTGACAGTATGCTCAGTGAGCAAATCCACGTAGAGGTTTGACTGAAAGAAAAGGTCATGGTCGGGGTGAAGGGAGAAGCACATTTACAAACACAGAGGCAGAACATAGCAGGAACATAAAATTCCTCGTAAAATTTCTTACCTCTTGTTCTTCAAGAACCAGCAAGTCCTGCCAAACCAAATTTTGAAAGTTATGTCCATGCTGATTTTATTTTGACTTTCTGTGACAAGCTCCCATGTACACCACTCCCCACCCCCATCCCCCAGAAGCACTTAAAATATTCCAGTTTCGTTGTACAGATTTTTGTAAACTACTTGGTCATCTAGGAAAGTCACATTATGGCACAACTATCTGGAAACAAGCATGATGCATAGCAGCCAGAAGAAATACATAGACACCCAGGTTTCTCTATCTATTTAAAGCTAGCTTCTCACACATTGCTTCTGGGAAGATTTTGGCCAAGAAAAATGTAACTATGGTATAGCAGCCAGAAACAGAATAACATTTTTAAATAGCACCAGCCACCTTCCCACTTGGTGGAAAGATGCCTTCTTTACCATGCGGTTTATTTTCTGTTTACTTTTTGGATCCGAGACCTTTTCCTTCCTCCTCTCCCCAACCCCTGCGGCTCAGGGTGCCCTCGGGTCCACCTACAGCAGTGAAACCACCACTACGAGGGGCACACACACGTGCCTGCTCACACACCCGGGATGGCGGGAGAGCGCGTGGGCAGCCCCTCGTGAAGGGAAAGAGAGTCAAAACACAGATGTCGGGAGAGTGGAAGGTGTCTTTTGTTTGGTGAAAAACAGGCAGAGAGTTATGATATAAAGAGGCAGAAGGTTGCCATTTCTGTTTCCTTGTCCTCTTTGATGCCCTGGAGGAGGGAAAGCAGACAGGGAAGCCTGGGCAGACACGAAGTCCGCTGAGGGCCCACACTCAGCGGCAGGATGCAGAAAGAAGCATCCCAGGGGCTCTGTGGGGCTTAGGTCCTGCGCCTGGGGGTCTCATCCAGGCTCCAAGAAGGAAAGGATTAAGAATATGACAACTTGTACAGATGAGGTAATAAAGACACACTGGTAGTGGCATATTTATAATTCCAAGTCGTTTTACAATTCACTATCACGAGTTAGTTTAAGCATCTCATGGCTTCAAACTGCTTAAAGTTTAACCGAACGCACCCATTTTGGCCTCAGTTCCTTCTGGGGTTGAGTCAGGGTACAAATACTATTTTAAACATTACATGAAAACAGAAGATATGGGAATTCACAACACTCCGTATTTAGCGGTAAGCTGAGAACCGATAACTTTATTTTAAAAGTTAACTATTTTAAAGGCTTGCAAGCAAAGGCTGCTCATGCTCCCATCTATCCTCCTCATACCCTCGGAGTTACTTCCCTGAAAAGCAGACTTAAGCATGACGCTCCTCCACTTAAATACTCCACAGGCTCCCTGCTGCCTGGATGGAATTCCAACCTGCCTCTCTGGCCTCTTCCCTATCACCTGGCCCGGGCGTCCCCACCTCCCAGAAGCTCAACTCTGACACATGGCTGGCACTAGGTGATGACTGCGGGTAAGTTTCGAGGGGTGAATTTCAAAGCTATATCGCCTGCAACAAGACAAAAGTTTGGCTGACATTTTTCTGATGGCCTTTGACCTAGATTATGACTCTAAACTTGTTCCTCCCAAGGCAGATTATTTTCCCTTAGCAGTAAGTCTTGAGAAAACAGGATGGATTCTGGATACCTTCTATCTCTACGGTACACTGCACAGTGTTCTATGTGAGTTAGAGCTCAATAAACACATTTTGTGCTTTACTATTTAAAAAAAAAATCTAACATTCCACACAATTCCACATCACTCAGTAAAAAGACTGGCTTTTAAGCAAATAAAGTCCTTCTGAACACACACCCTTTCAGTTCATGGATCAAGGACCATAGAGTTTAGGGGTTCTCAGTTGTGGCTGTGCTTCAGAATCACTCATGAGACTCCTGAAAAATGCAGATCCCCACCCCCACCTGACAAATCAGGATCTCAGCTGTAAGGTTCTTTATGATGATTGTTTTCAAAGGCCCGCAGGTGGTGCTGATTAGGCTTGGATCCGAGGCTAAGAATCACCGATGCTCTGTCTGTCCTCATCTAACACTGTGATCCAATATATACCATTAGGAGACATAAAATTCTTTTACCTTTTGGATCTCGGGATGAAAAATTTCTCTGGGGCCTTTCTCAAATTTGTCCAGGTTCATGGCACTGAAATAGAAAGGACAGAATGAGCCACAGCGTGGTGGAAACTTAACTTAGAACAAGTCTCTGTGCTTCAGAGAAACTAAATAATATCTCCTAGAAAAATCACAGCTGGATTCCCTATAGGGCCGGGCACACAGGAGATCAATGATCACGCAGGGTGCTCAATGAATGAATACATGAGAGTAACCAAACACTGCATGGTACTTTACTTATATAACTGGCCCTTGATGACACTCATCTAATAAGGGAGGAAGAGATGATCAGGAGCATGTTTCAGGCAGCCCAACTAACCTCCAAGATTCTTTTATTTATCGAAAAAGTGGTTCATTGACATTTATGTTAGCAGTTAATGATAAAATGAAATGTAAGTAAGACTACCTGGTGTTTCTTTCTTCCTTTGGCAATTCCTTCGCCACTTAGGGCAAAAGGCCCTCCCCTTCACAGGATGGTTCTTTCACGTTAGAATGTCAACCTCCTTGAGCCTAAGTTCCTCCAGAGGTAAAACATGCAGTTGAAATGCACGATCCCTTAGGCCCCTTTCATCTAGGAGTCCCATATTTGTAAGGTAAACATAATAATAGCTAATATTTATAGAGTATTTATAACGTCGGGCAGCCTGCTAAATGCTTTCCATGGATGACCTCATTTAGTCTCTGTGCGGCAAGTGCTATTTTATCCCCATTAAATTACTTAAAAAATTTTAAAGGTGAGGAACCTGAACTAGGATAACAAAGCTGGTAAGTAGTAGAGCCAAGATTTGAACCCAGACTTACCTGCCTCCATAGTATTCATTTTTTCATTTCCTTTTAAGTTTTCAAGTTCAAGATTATAACAAAGATAACATTTTTTTCTTCTATCAGCAGCAACTGTAGAAGTTTTGATCTTCCATGTCTTTAAAAAAATGTTTCTGGCTGAAACGTGCTCTGGCTACATGAGTGGGGGCAGAAGCGGAGGTCCTACTCCTATAACTAAATGGAAATCATAACAAAATGAAATGTCTTCAAATATAAAGAAGAAAGGAGCTGGAGTAACTTCTTTTTAGGGAAAAAAAAGTCACAGAAATCTTAAGCCAGTATAATTCTAAGTATTCCTCTCAAAGCCAGTTAAGATTTATACCTCCTTAGAAGCAGCAAGATATTTCTGTGCTCAATAAAGATGTTAACCTCTTCACTGATGCTTTCATAGCTCAGGTTTCAGACTGCTCGGAAGAAAAATCAGAAGGCCGAGAGCAGAAAGGAGAAGGTCTGCAATTTGGAGACCAAATCAAGCTTGAAGAGGAGATCTAAAAATTTTTGCTTCCGAATCTCAGTGCCCCTTTCATCAGCCAGATGCAGTCCCTGACCCATGGAGTCGAGATTGTCACTCTAACAGACGTTCTGCAAGTGTGCGTTGCAGCGGGGACACTGAAAACACCATCTCTTCCCAACACCTAGTTGCAGACAAAAAAGCACCAGGGCTCTGGGATAAGTGTTCATACTCACACAATGTGGGCCTTGGTGGCTAACAGCCCAAGCACGGGGATGATAGGGACCTGGGTTCAAATCCCAGCTCTGTAGTTTCCCAGCTGTGAGATCTTTGTCAAATCCCTTCACTTCTCTGAGGCTCTGATTCCTCCTTGGTGGAGTGTAGGTAATAATGGATCTCCTTTGTGGAGCTGGTTTAAAAATTTACTAAGAGAATGACCAGAGCCTTCAGCACAGTGCCTGACAAACAGAAGCTACTGTCACTATGATGTAGCCTCTTGGCTGGACTGGATGAAGCAACAGGTACCGCATGAGTGGTGGCATTCCCTAGGGGGATCTGCCACCAGCATGGGAGAGCCAGAGGGGGATGGAAAGGTGGGGGGCAGGAGTGGCAGCTGAGCGCAGAGCAGCTAGACCGTCTACTCATTTAACTCTCTCTTTGCAAAGAATAAGCACATTCTTCTCTAAGAAGCATTTGCTGACATACGAGTTTCTATTTCAAAGCAGGAAAATGAGAGGAAAAAGATTTCTTGATTTTCTTTATGAGACCGAAGTATTAGCATGCATGCAAAAAAAAGGAGCAGGCTACGTAGGCAGTTCGGAGATGCGTTAAGAGTGGAGCTTAATTCCCACCACAAGCTAGCTGTGTGATCTTTCTGTCTTGGAGCTTCCACCTCTGCCTCTCCACAGTGGGGTAATAGCAGTGCCCGTCCCACCGAGGTGCTGTGAAGACGGCAGGGGATACTGCACGTCAGAGGCTTTAGCAAAATGTCTGGGACGTGGTCAAGGCTCCAGAAAGTAGAAAAATAACATCAGAACAATCACAGAAGAAAAATACTTATAAAGGCTCCTGGTGTTGGGTTCTTCTTCTTGAGTACTCACCTTAAGATGGACTTCACAGAGAGAGTTTTTGTGGGACTGTACGGAAGGCATATTTTCTGGGTACCCTGGAAAGTCAAAACACCGGATCAGTGAGAAGTGTGGCAATTTCCATCTCTCAATAAGCTTTACCTGGCTGTTTAAAAGAATATATGAACCTGGGCGCCTGGGTGGCTCAGTTGGTTAAGCGACTGCCTTCGGCTCAGGTCATGATCCTGGAGTCCCGGGATCGAGTCCCACATCAGGCTCCCTGCTCAGCAGGGGGTCTGCTTCTCCCTCTGCCCTCTGCCCTCTTGTGCTCTCTGTCTCTCATTCTCTCTCTCAAATAAATAAATAAAATCTTTAAAAAAAAAAAAAGAATATATGAACCTATATATGAAGAAACACATTCTGTCATGGGAAAAATCTTCCTCAGGCTTGACAGCATCTTTCACCATTCCCCAACCCCAACACTATGGATTTAAGCATTACTCTTCAATGTATGGACTGGGGGGGTCCTTGGTGTTGTAGGTGCAGTGAATGGATGAGCCATCTGACTGAGATGAGAAAGGGTATGGTCTCTGAGCCAAGAGTCAGATCAGCCTCAAAGATAATGAGAAGAAAGCAGTCTTTGCATGTTCAGGGGGACCTACATGTGAGATCTCCAAGTTGAAGGCTTTCTGAACTAGAAATCATTTAAATCTTTTGAGAGGGTTTCATAACACGTACTTTTATATTTTTCTGTGTTTACTATTTTTTTTTTTTTTAAGTAGGCTCCGTAACTAACCAGGGGCTTGAACTCACAACCCTTTGATCAAGGGTCACATGCTCTACCGACGGAGCCAGCCAGGCACCCCTCTGTGTTTACTATTTAAACTCTGTTTCTTTCTCTCTAAATGAGTACCCACTGTGACTAACTCATGGAAAGTACTCAATGGATATTTGTTGTGTGAAAGGGAATGAATGAAGGGTTGCCCGAATGGTTCAGGCCCACGTCCAAACCACCCAGCAGAGATGAGTGCTACTCTCTTTATAATCTCCAGAAATAGATATAATGCAGATTTATAATCCACAATGGATTTATACTGCACGTTTAGCAAAAGGGATTACAATGTAGTACACATTTAAAACTTTCCAACCTTGACTAATAATAAAATTGGCAGCACGAACTGCTAGAAAAGGCGCAGGGCATTTCTTGTAGGAAATGGGCAAAGAAGGATATAGGGTTTTCCTTGTGTTTTCGAGATAACACCTGCCAACCCATCTGTCCAAGCCCTGAACACTGGTGTCACAGTAGCAGAGTTCTTCGACCTCGACAAGCCCATGATCTCTTTTGGTAAACTAAACATTCACACCATGCCCCTGGAGAACCAGTAACCTCACCCGCACTCCAGGCTGGGGAGTGCGTCTTTCCAGCTAACCCTCAGAAGTTGCACTAGGGCGCCTGGGTGGCTCAGTCGGGCGAGCGACTGCCTTCGGCTCAGGTCATGATCCTGGAGTCCCAGGATCGAGTCCCGCATTGGGCTCCCTGCTCAGCAGGGGGTCTGCTTCTCCCTCTGACCCTCCCCCCTCTCATGCTCTCTCTCTATCATTCTCTCTCTCAATAAATAAAAATCTTTAAAAAAAAAAAAAAAAGAAGTTGCACTAGACAGAGCCCTTCTTATGGGTTCTCTTTAGCCAATGTAGTTTACATTAAAGAGATTTTAAGAGATTTCCAATATAGGGGAATATTATGATGAGAATAGGCATTTTCAAATTCCACATAACTCACCCATTGAAACCTGAGTTATTTCGGTGGCCTTGTTTTTTTTTTGCTGGCCCCGGCCTGCCTTACACTGTGGTCACCTGTATGGGATGCCAACCCTTCTAGAAGAGGGTCTTGAATCTGACCTTCTTGCTCAACCCCTACCTTGGCTACCTTTTCTTCTCACCGAGCACAACAAATGCAGTTTTAGAGAAGCCAAGGGCGGCCTGAGGGGGGAATATATGGAATAGGAGAGGATCCAGCCCCTGCCTGGCTGATGGTAACATCTTCATAAGCTGCCTACACGGATGCGAAACCCCGGGCTCAGGGGATTGTGGATTTGTAATCTTCTTCACCGCATGCTGGCAAAGCTCTTCCTCCCCATCTTCTCCCTTTTGTAGCTTTGCAGAGTTGCCCTCTAACAAAAAACACCTTTCGGTTCTGTTTTCTAGTGGGATCAACAGAGGCATGGTCAGAGCCAAGTACACATACGTATCCGGAAACACCAAGTGATCACTGCAAGGACGTGCAAGTGCGCGTCGGACGTTACCCCCTTACGTGGCAGCTGTGTGTGTGCGCGCATGCGTGTGTGTGTGCGCGAGCGTGTGTGTGTGTGAGCGTGGACCAGTGTCTTTAAGGCCCTTGCAGTGATTATCCCTGAGTAGCTGGACTTTGAGCCTCTTCTTTTTTCTTCTTTAAAAGGATTTTATTTACTTACTTGACAGAGAGAGACAGTGAGAGAGGGAACACAAGCAGTGGGAGAGGGAGAAGCAGGCTCCCCGCAGAGCAGGGAGCCCGATGCGGGACTCGATCCCAGGACCCTGGGATCATGACCTGAGCCGAAGGCAGATGCTTAACCGACGGAGCCACACAGGCGCCCCGAGCCTCTTCTTTTTACTAAGGGCATTGTCTGGATGGAATTTGTACAGTAAGTATGAGGGGGGTTTGTTTGTGTTTTTTTTTAAGTCTTGTCTTTGTGTTTAGAAGAAACACAGCACAGATAGACAAGACTGTTTAGGTCAGGGCTCACACATGTAGCTGTGTGTCTGTTTTAGAATGGAATGGGAGCTCATGGCGGAGGCATACGCTTCTTTGGATTTCCCGCAGCCTCGAGCACTAGTTCTGGGCCCAAAGGGGCTTCAAGACGGACCCCTCCTGCCAAGCTCTGCTTTGATTTCTTCAGTCCCTCCCAGCCCTTCAGCACTTGTAGCTGGTGGCCAACGCCCACCCTGCCCCGGCACACACGGCACACACAGCAGGCTCCGGAGCGGAGGCTCTGGGGAAGGCACCGCACTTCTCAACAGAGTGGGGCTGACTCATCAGGCCAGCCCCACTGCCTTCACGGGGTCCTGCGGGCCAAATGACTCTTCCTTGACTTCTCCTGGCGCCAGGAGTCCCCGAGCTCCTCATTTGTCTTGTCTTCCTTGTTCCTTTTTTCTGGAATGCTCCCTGCCTGCCCCCTTCCCCTACTCTGTTTTTAGTTTGTTTGTTTTTAAGATTTTATTTATTTATTTGAGAGAGAGAGAGAGAGAAAGCACAAGCAAGGGGAGGGACAGAGGGAGAGGGAGAATCAGACTCCCCACTGGGCCGGGAGCCTGACACGGGGCTCAATCCCAGGACCCTGGGATCATGACCTGAGCTGAAGGCAGACACTTTACTGCCTGAGCCACCCAGGTGCCCGTCCCTTACTCTTAATGTGGTTAGTTCCTTTTCCTCCTGCAGGTCTCTTTAAATGTCACCTCCTTGAAAAACTTTTCCTGCGCTATCTGATCTGAAGTTGGTCTCCCATATCATTCTGCCTTTGTTTCCTTCAAAGTGTTTATCTCAATTTATAATGTAACAGAGACAACATCTTTAGAAATTAAAATAAGCAAAATTCCCTCCTGCATCTGCCCCACCCTCCCTCCTCTAGTACCTGGCAACCTTCCCAGGTGAGGAGGTGGGGCGGCTGTTACTGCCTGAAGAAAGAAGACAGGACGGGGAGAAAATCCATTCTAGAAAGGTGGCAGAAGTACAGAACTGCCCTTTCTTGTTTTGGTGGAAGATGTAAGAAGAAAGGTAGGAAAGCTAAGGCGTTAGATGCTGGGGCCCTTGATTCTGCCGTTCAGAGGGCAGGCCTCAAAGAGGGTGAGGGACACTGGAAACATATTAAAATAAGACATGGAGACATCTAAGAACATTTGGATTAGGGGCTCACTTCCCAGGCACGGCCTTCTGTAGGAATCTTGAAGTCCAGGTAGAACCTGTTTGAACCTGACGAGGGGCAATAACTCAGCAGCTTCAAGCGCGGATGGTCAGCAAGATTAGAAACATAAGCCTAAAGCAATGCTTCTGCCCCTCCCCACCTGCCCCGTGGCTTGCAGGGGATGTGCTGGTGAGAAGGACAGAGCTGAGAGGCTCAGTGACTAGCGAGACCTGGGATCAGGTCCCAGAGGTCACAGTGTGCAATGACTTCACCACAAGGGGCAAATGGCTGGGACCATGGATTTCAGTGACAGGTACTTTCCAGTGAATAAAATCTTAAATCTTTCCAATAAATAAAATCTTAAAAAAAAAACCAACCCAAACAGGCCAGAAAAGAGTCTTCCTGGTGCAGAAGATAAGAGGCTTTAGATAAGGGCACGATCACTTCTCACTGGGTGAATAAAGGGAAAAGACCGTCATGTATGCACCTGAGAACAATGGGCACACAGTCCTTCACCATTATCTTCTAAAACCAGTGCATCAACTTCGCTCCAGGACAGCTCTGATGATGATATGACTGAACCCCATTTCAGTGGCATGGGGAGAGAGGTGAGAGCCAAAACCTTTCTGTAGGAAATCATTCATGAGTAAGAGCTAACTCGGGTTTACATTAGACTTTTATCTTAAACCTGCTTAAAAAGAGAAAAATTTCTGCAACATAACATGGACATTTATATAAACAGAGGCAGCAGAGCACACAGGTTAGGCTGGACTTTGGTGTCGTTCATTAATTCATTCAATAAATACTTCTTGAGCTACTTCTATGTGCCAGATACCGGGCTAGGTGAGAACAAAGCAGTTATGTCCCCTACTTTCATGGAGCTCACAGTCTAGGGAGAGAGACAGCATGAGTCAAAGAATTACATACAGAATTAATTACGTACAGCCTTGACAGCTCGGTGTGCAGTCCTGGCTTCTGCCTGGCCTGCCACCTTCTGGCATGTGGCCTCGGCCATGTCATTTAAAGCGCAATAATACCTATTGAGATAATGCATGGGGAAGACTTGGTATAGTATGTGGCATATAGTAAGTGCTCAATAAATGTTAGGTTTTATTTTAGTACTCTTACTATTTTTAATCATCACAAAAAGTTCCTAACTACATTATTCTGTAATGGTTCCTAGAAATTCTTTCTGGGCTTTTTGAAGTTGCTGTATGTGTATGTATGTATGCAACTGTGTTTATATACGTGTGTACGTATATAAAAATTACTGTTTTTTTGAAGTGTGTGTATATTAAAAAAATACTGTTTAAGTTCCTGTATTTCCCAAAAAGATATACATAGCAATTTTTGAGATACTATGCTGCTGAGATAAAAATTAGCATACACTTTATTAGGTAATGGCTTTCTTTTTTTTTTTTTTTAAGATTTTATTTATTTATTTGCAAGAGAGAGCGTGCACAAGCGGGGGTTGGGGCAGAGAGACAAGTAGACTCCCTGCTGAGCAGGGAGCCCAACTCAGAGCTCGATCCCAGGACCCTGAGATCATGACCTGAGCTGAAATCAGATGCCAACCAATTGAGCCACCCAGGTGCCCCTAGGTAATGGCTTTCAACAACTGCACCCATAAAGCGAGACTACCACATAACAGGACTAACGTTTTCTGAGTGTGGTTTATTTCATTGATGATTTAGATTTTCAAACATGATCTCACTTAATATAGTCCTCAGCACCCTGTGAGCCACAGCCCAGAATTTTCCCCAATTTACAAAGAAGAAAATGGAGCTCATCAGCAATTTTCTCAAATTGACATGAATGAATTTGCTACTGATGTAATTTGACCCTGGTTTGCTTAACCCCAAACTCCTTGCTCTTTCCAGTGTCCGTAATGCCTATGAAAAAATTCTCTCAGAAGTGAAGGGAAAAAAAAAAAAAAAAAACAAACCCAAGGGAAGAAAATAATAAGAAAAGGTAAGAGGTGAAAGATGGAGATCAACTCTAAGAATTACTATAAGAAATCAGAAAAGAGAAGGAAAAGCTGCGATAGTGAACATAAGAGAATTTTCCTGAGCTACAGGGAGGCCTGCATTCCTGAGTTGACATGATTTGCCTTCGTTCAGGTCACTGTCCTCAGAAGCCACCATGGACGGGGGTACTTGTCTTGTTAAGCCTTGAGTCATTTTCCTACTTCAGGAAATTGATGAAAGGGGCTAAGCCTCAAAGAAATTCTAGAAGCACAGCTGATTCAGTGCTTGACTGAATGACCCAGGGAAACAGAAGCACCCCATGGGCTGTACCCCTGTAATAGCATTATATTCCTCGAATACATTTTGTTTCTTTTAGTTGAAGGTAAACCAGCTGGTCAGTTTCAGTCTTAGTAGCAGCTAAGGTTAATACTCTGTAAAATACACTTCTGTATTCCACCGGCCAGAGATGGAGGGACTGGACATGTCCAGGTAGTGGCTCGTATGGGGGAAGTTGTGGTTATACTCAGAGCTTGAAGGCTCCACCTCTGAAGAGTGTAATCCTGAATATCCAAACTCAAAGAACCTCATAGAAAAAGACTCACCTGAACCACAATGGTTCTGAAAATGACACTAATCAAACTCCGGATGGTGCTGATGCTGTAGGTACAAGCGAGGTACTTACTGTTTTCCTCCAAAGAATTGCTCGGTATTGAGGGACACGCTGATTATTTTGGTCAGAGAGGGTCACAGACAGGAAGAAGGGGCTCTTCTCTGAATCATTTCCAATGTAATTCTGATGGACTGGAAAAGAGACAGGTTCAGAACAGTGAAGATGTGCTGGTTCCTCTAGGCCCTGGTGGGAGTAGACACTTTTTCCTTCCCACATGAGCAGGGAACAAGAATCCCAAACCCAGCTCTGGAAAGAACCTGGTCATGCTTCCACTCCCCTTGGCAGTTACTGGTTCAGAAATGAACATGTGACCAGTTCTGGCCAATGAGACAGGAGGAGAAATGGAAAGGCTTTCTGGAAAGTCTTCCTTACTCCTGAAGATGGCCTTCGCCTTCCTCTGGACATGGTGGTGCCTAGAAGTGATAGCTGGAAGTGCTGCAACCACCTTGTGACCCTGAGGAGGGCCAGCCTTGATGACACCACTGAGCCCCTGAATCCACCAACTCCAGAGCCTGCCTTACCTCTGAGTTTCTTGGCATCTACCTAATGGCGTCAGTTTTCTCTAAAGTCACCACTGCTCTGGGCACTATGCTTTCAAGCATTTGGGAGGATGACAACTTTCCCGCTAATTTCTTTCTTGATAAAGAAATATGCCTTGTCCAGTAAGTGAACTTAGAATAAAACAGTATCAGATTTTTAAAATTTGGGTCTGATCACTCTCATTATAGTCTCCACATCACATCTTCTATAAACACATGCATTAGCCTGATAAGCAATTTATCTACTTCCTCTCGAATCCTGAAACAGTGATTATTCTCCCCTTCCCAGTCTCTCCTGTCATTAGACACACTCCCGTTTTCCACCTTCCCACATGTGTTCACCCAAGCCCCTCACTTTATATGTACACTGCTATTAATGACTGAGCCCTTGCTTCGTGCCGGGCACGGGGCTTGGCTGTTTCTCCAGCATCACTGAAACTCCGTTCAAACCCACTCAGTATGTAACAGTAATAACTCCACCTTACAGATAAGGAAATTAAGTCTCAGAGAAGTAGAGAGTGACCAGTGTAAGCTTCTGTGGTTAAGAATGGCAAAACCAGGATTCAGACCCATTTTAGAGTCTCTGTGAGGGTAGGGAGAATGACTGCCTTTGCCAGGGTAATTGCCTGGCACGTGGTAGGTGACAAATACCCGTCACCAGAGCCTACAGGACAATGCTTCTCTAGTTCTGTGGTGGCCCTGGAGCTCAGGGATCCATTTTTTTTTTTTTTTTGCCTCATTGCTTTGAACTAAGTGTTCAAAACTCACTATAGACAGGACAACTTGCCTTGTTAGGTCTGAAGTTGTTTTCCACCCTGCAAATTCTTCTTGCGTCTTAAATAGCTATTTAGATGATCAGGTCCCCTTTAACTCCCAAGGGACAAAAACAACTGACCAAAAAACCTTATGGTTTCATATATGGGTTTCATATATTTATGAAAAAATCCTAGGGCTGAGACTGAATTGAATCTTTCAATTGGAAAAGCTATTAACCTGGATATTAGTGTCCCTAAACTGGTTAGTTTCACACTTTTTAGGGCATCAGAAAAAATGACACCAACACTTAATTTTCATTTTGAATACCCTTTCTTCCCAACCACCATAATGGCATAGTTACCTTGTCCTAAAAAATACTTGAAATACCATCTGGTGTGGTATTCTGGGTTCTCTAAGTGCACGTCTGTTCTTCGCCACGTCCCTGGGAGAGCAGTTGCATTCTGGAATCGAACAAAATTGTGCCAGTAAGAGTCATATTCAGAAAGTAAACAAGAAGCAGGCAATGAACCAGGGGCCAAAGAACCAGAGAAGCCATTGTCAAAAGGGTACAAATAGGGCAGTAAGTACAAGTTTTCATGAGAAAAGACACCACGTCCACATCACAGAAGCATTCTGAAGGTCCTTGGGGTAGAGGGAAAAGCACCGAGTGGAACCAGCGGGCTCAGCTATTTCCAGCTTGAGTATCAACTTGAAATTTCTCTCCTTTCTGGTCCAAACCTTCCAAATATTTGGGAGTTGGTGCCGCCTAGAGGCAGCCCTTCCGTCTGGTACCCCCTGTAATAGGCCCATTTCACCTGGAATACATCTCCGCAGCCTCTTATTCGAGTTCATATTTTTTTGTAGAATTTTAAAAATTTGTCATGAAATAACACAATTAATGGGGAAATTATGGATAAACATAATGAACAATCTGAATCCTCTCTCCAAAGACAGTCACCACGAATGATTTGGTATGGCTTCCTCTGATTTTTTCCTCACACGGACACACACATGTAATTTTCTTACCAAACGCAATCATACCGAAACTCCACTGGCATCTACCTTGTGCCATGTATATATGGCAGGTGACTGGAACATACTTTTCCGATTCCCATATGCCTCTGGTGATTTTCTAGACGTTTGTGGTCACTTGCTTTATCATGTTGAAGGGGGTTTCCTTCAATTCCGAGCTTACAAAGAGGCCATTCTCAGGAATCAATATTGAATTGCCCTGAAAGTTTTTTTGGCAACTATTGAGAGAATAGGTTAAATGGGGAAAAAAATCATAGTAATGTAATGAATTATACTACTGGCTCTTCCGATGCTGAATGGTTCTTACATTTCTGGAATACCTCCTACTAGGTCATGGTATATAGTATTCTTTTGATACACTGCTGGATTTTAAAAAAAATGAATTATGTATATTTGTTAGTGAGATGGAGCTTATAGGTTTCTTTTCTGTATGAATTTCTGTCATACTTTCAGAGTTATATTACTTATAAAGTGAATTAGGATGCTTTCTGTCTTTCTCATGCTCTGGAAATACTGACACTCACTGAGAGAGCTTTAAGGGTACTTTATATGCATTAGCTCCATAGCATCTCCACCAACTTTATGACATAGATTTTATTTTATCCTCTACTTTCAGATGAAGAAAGTGAGGCTCAGACACTTCAGCTACGCTGCCTAAGGTAGCCAAGCTCATAAGCAGTGGAGCTGAAACTGAGTCAGTGCCAATTTCGGAGGGTTGTTTTTTTTCTTTTTAAAAATTTTAACCATTTCATCATTGTCTGTCTTCTTTTTTATGTTCTGCCCTTTACTCCCAAGGAGTAAAAAGTAGGTTAATGTTTCTTAGCATTATTGTACTTTTACTGAATTTTCTTGAATTAAAAAAAAAATCAGCTATTGATTATGTATGTATATATATATATGTACATATTTTAATTTGGAAATAATTTTGACCTTACATAACAGTTGCAGGAATAGGACGGCACAGAGCATTTGTATACCCTTTAACAGATTTACCTACTGCGAATATTATATCCCATTTATTCATTTGCTCACTACTGTCTACACAAACACATACACACAGAATTTTTTCTGAACCATTTAAGACTAAGATACAGAATAGCCCTTTATCCCTAAATGCTTCAGTGTGTATTTCCCAAGAATAGAGATATCTTCTTATATAACCACAATATAGCTTTCCCAACTTTTATAAATTTAACATGGATACGGTACCTCTAATCTACCATCTGCATTCCAATTTTGTTAATTGACTGAAAAATGTCATTTAAAGAATTTTCCCTCTTGAGTGCAGGACAACTGAGTTGTCATGTCTCTTTAGATTCCCTTCTTCTGGAACATTCCAGACTCCGCCTTTTACAACACTGACATTTTTCAAGAATACAGCACACACCTCCCCTCCTCTTTTTTAAAATTGAGCATGACTCAGGGCGCCTGGGTGGCTCAGTCGTTAAGCGTCTGCCTTCGGCTCAGGTCATGATCCCAGGGTCCTGGGATCGAGCCCCGCATCGGGCTCCCTGCTCGGCGGGAAGCCTGCTTCTCCCTCTCCCACTCCCCCTGCTTGTGCTCCCTCTCTCGCTGTCTCTCTCTGTCAAATAAATAAAATCTTTAGAAGTAAATAAATAAATAAAATAAAATTGAGCATGACTCATTCTGGGTTTGTGTGATGTTGCCCACGATGAGGTTCAGGTCATGCGTACCCGGTCAGAATGCTACACAAGTGGTGCTTGTCCTTCTCAGATTATCAGACATCAAGACATCCATCTGTTCCTCATTGGTGATGTTAATGTTGATCCCCTGTTCAAGATGTTGCCTCTTAGTTTTGACCTTTTGGTGTGACTCAAGAAGAGCCATAATGGGATTTTGTTCCCAGGAGAATTTCTGGATGTTTCATTGTCAACAGTATTCACTTTATAATCATAAACCACTGGCAGTGCCGATCCATAGTGCACTATGCCACGGGGCAACATGCAGCTGTGGCATGACCTTGGGGTTCACCAACCAGCCTCAGGCATCAGCTGGCCAGACACAGGTGGGGTCCAGCTCAGGTATCTGGCCTTCGCCAGTCAGATGCCACTGCATCTTGGTGCCATTGTCCCAAGGCCCGAGATCCTAGACACCATCAGCAGAGCCTGGAGAGGAGACTCTGAAGGAACCAGGCCACTTAGGCCTCTGGAGGTTCCCAGACTTGCATGGCACAGCACCAGGTCTTAGCTCTGTGCTTCTAGGTTTGTTAAAATATCACCCTGGGTCCATTCTAGACCTCCCCCTCAGGATCTCTGTGGGTGGGGCCCTAGAATCTGTAGTTTCACAAGCATCCCAGGGGACTCTGAGGAACACTAAACTTTGAGAAGCAATGCTCTATGCCAGGGGTTCTAAAAGAATCCAGGGAGGGCATGAACTTGGGTGAAGCAAAAAGAAAAAAAAAATCATTATTTCCCTAACTTCAAACTAAAATGTAGTGTTTCTTGGGGCACCTGGTTGGCTCAGTCGGTAGAGCATGGGATTCCTGATCTCAGGGTTGTAAGTCTGAGCCCTACACTGGGTGCAGAGATTACTTAAAAATAAAATCTTAAAAATAAATGTTTCTTTCAATTACAAATGTATGCAAAACAACAACAACAACAACAAAACAACAAAACCCAAAAAACTACAGTAGAACAGCCCTGGGAACCATGTCTCTCTCTCTCTCTCTCTCTCTCTCTCACACACACACACACACACACACACAAATCACAGATATTTTCACAACTCACTATAGTGGCTGCAGATATCTTGAATGCTGTTTACAATCCTGACTGTTCAAAACTGCAATAGCTATAAGCCCTGCTGCTGGATTTGTTGCTTAATGTACTGATAAAAAAAGGAGGTATATTACTGTATCATGAATTAGGTTTAAAAAATCAGTCTGATAACTACTTCTTTTCTTTTTTTAGACAGAGTGTGCAGAGGTGGGGGAGGGAGGGAGAGAATCGTAAGCAGGCTCCCCGCTGAGCAGGGAGCCCGATGCAGGACTCGATCCCACAACCCTGAGATCATGACCTGAGCTGAAATCAAGGGTCAGATGCTTAACTGACTGAGCCACCCAGGTGCCCCTTGGATAACTAATTCAACACAACTGTTTTCCTTTGTAATCCTATGTATTTTGTTTTGTGCACTCAAAAATATTCTGAGAAGGGGTCTACAGGCTTCACAGATTGCCAAGGGGGTCAAAGGACATAAAAGCTGACCCCCATACTCTAGATCTTCTGCCTTCTTCCCTCCCAGAGGTCTGAACACTAGCAACCGCAGGACGGAATAACATCGGAGGAGCGTCTCACAGAGACGGCACTCTGGCCAGTGGCATGCCCCAAATCTCTATCAAGTACAAAGTGTCAATTATGAGGTTTTTCTTAAATGATCAAAAAGCTACCTACTTAACTTCTGCCTTCACTGAATCCTTAACTAAAATGGGGGGGACCCCAACACCAAAAAAGTTGTGAGTCTCGCAGAGTGAGACACTTCCTGTCCCTTGTTAAAATCACATATGATGAGGTGTAAAGACAAGAACATACGCAGGAACTGACAAAGAAAGGAGACTAAAGCAAAGAAAAAACAAAAAGCACCCTCTCTGCCCAAGACCAGACGTGCCAGAACGACTCCAAAAATGAGCTTCTGATGGGAAGTACCAGAAGCGGACAGAAAAGGGCACAAATCTTGAGTGAACAGTAAATGATTTTTTAAAATATGTAGACACCCTTGGAACCACTCCCTGGATCAAGACAGAAAACATTTTCAGCACCCCAGAAGGCTCCTTCACTCACCTGCCCAGTGAGTACCCAGTCATACTCTGAAAGGTAACCATTACCCTGACTTCTATCACCACGATTCCTTTTACTTGCTCTTGAACTTCATAGAAATGAAATCATATAGTGTGTATCCGTCCTTCGGCACCACGTCTGTGACGTTCATCTCATCCATGTTGGGGATGTAACAAGTTCACTCTCTCCCACTGCCATGTACCTAGTCCCCAGTATGAACACCACAGTGTATGTATCCATCCTCCAGCTGATGGACATATGGGCTGTTTCCAGTTTGGAGTCGTTAAGAATAAAGTCACATGAACAGTCCTGTGTCTGTCTTTGGTGGACATAAGCACTCACTGATGTTGGGTATACATCCTGGGACCAGAGGAGGCAGACGTTCAGTTTTAGTAGACACTGCCAAACTTCCAAAGGGGACGCACCAACTTACACTATTAGCAAGATGTGGAGAGCTCTAGTTGCTCCCTGTCCTCTGACCAGCTCTTAGTGTCTCGGGCATTTTCCTTTTAGCGGTTCTGGGGTGGGCATAGCAGTGCCTAACTGTGGCTTTAATTTTGCAGTACATCTTAAGTCTTTTAAGTATGACCTATTTTACAGAGGATTTCAGAGATATAGAAACTTTGTCTACAACA